TTTATTCTGATTGGTCACCCTGAAGCTGACCTTTGACTCTCCCCAGAATTATTTCCAATAATAATAATAAATAAATGAACCTACTTCTCTATTCATTAAGCAGATATTTCTTGAGCATTTACTCTGTCCTGGGCTCTGCAGGTACAGAGGTGAGCAAAGCAGACACGGTCCCTGCTTGCTTCGAGCTAGGGCAATGGGGCTCCCATCAGCAGCAGCAGCAGCATTGCCCAGGAGCTTTTTAGAAATACAGATGTTCAGCCCCACCCCAGAGCACCTGAATCTGAAACAGGTGTGTTTTAGCAAGTGCTCCAGGTGATTCTGATGCGAGCTTGGAACCACTGGTCTAGAGGATTCCAGCTTTATTCTTCTTGTCCCTTCCCTTTTCTGGGCCTCAGTTTTCTCATCGTTAAGTGTCTGATGGTTTTGTAAGACTAATAAAATATCATCCTGTTTTATTTCTTCTTTACAGAAAAACTATGCTGTGAGTTTGACTATGAGCCAGGTAAGCAGCCTATGTCAGAATGGGAGAGAATGAGAAGTCTTCGAAAAGGAGAGACAATTTTGTAGGATTCTATATTGGGCACTACAATAGTCATAACATACATATACTCATACATATATACATCATATGTATAGTATATATGCATAACTGTATATATACATATGTATATATATAGATTCTTGTCTGAGGGTCCAGCAGGCTCAGTTCTTCTATGAATGGCAAAACTCACCAGACAACCCCCAGCGTGTGTATAGAATACATGTGTGTGTGTGTTTGTCACATTCTTTGTAAGGTTCTCAGGAGAACCATGAAGAAAGGACAAGCACACACACATACCACATTAGTGGTGTGAAGCTCACATCCTGGTGATTCACGCACATGGAAAGCCTGTTGAGTAGATAGAAAGATTAACGCAGAATGGGATAAGGTCCATCTGGGAATGCTTTCTGGATAAAGGGAGGTTTGATCTGGGCTTATAACCATATCTTTAGAACTGTGAGGAACCCCTGCTTCCTCTCAGATGTGATTTCACAGATGACAGAAGGAAGGTGGCCTGTGGGTGGGAAAGAAATGAACAGAATGGACCCTGCAAGGCTGTTGCTTCTCAATCAACCAGCCTAAGACCCTGGGAGTCACAGAGTTGTTGGAGGGGGTTCTGTAATCCATGGATGGATCTGAATTTACAGAAGCTTCTCAACTTGTGAATACTAAAGTAACAAAATGCAAGGCTCTGCAGAAATCATTGGTGTTCGCATGTTCTCACTCATAGGCGGGTGTTGAACAATGAGAACACATGGACACAGGGAGGGGAGCACTACACACTGGGGTCAGTTGGGGGGAAATAGGGGAGGGAGGGTGGGGGGTGGGAAGCTGGGGAGAGATAGCAAGGGGAGAAATGCCAGATGTAGGTGATGGGGAGGAAGGCAGCAAATCACACTGCCACGTGTGTTCCTATGCAACAATTTTGCATGTTCTTCACATGTACCCCAAAATGTAAAATGCAATAAAATAAATAAATGGGAAAAAAAAAAAAAAAGAAATCATTGGTGTTAAAATGTGGTCCTCAGGCTCGACAGTTTTAGAATTACTGAGGCAGAGTGAATAACCCAGGGGTGAACCAGAGAGCCTGGCAGGAGGGAATACTGTAAACGAGTCACAAGTGCTCTGGGAGGAAAGCGGGGAGGAATCATGAAGGTTGGACTGAAGGGAGAAATGTCTCTGCTCTCCGGGATAGACATGGGAAGAGCGGAGAATGTGGTGTATCGGCAGCAGGAGATCCGAGCAGGCACACGCAACTTTGGAGGCCAATCAATTTGTGGTGAGCAGAAGAGCTTTCCCAAGGACCACATGGAACTAAACGAGAGCTGTCGCATCCTCTGAGGCAGGCTTCTCAGGCTTTCCATGTGTACGAATCACCTGGGCATTTTGTTAGGATGCAGATTCTGACAGTGTATATCTAACAAGTTCCCCGGTGATGCCACATTTTGGTCCACGTAGGGAGTATATATGATTTTGGTAATAGTAACACTAATGGGGAAGTTTCTAGGGCTTCCTTGGAGGTAATAACATGTCTGCTGACACCTGTCTCTTTTGGCTATCCCCACAGCTCACATTTCTCTAGACCCTCAGACTTCCCACCCCAAGCTCCTCTTGTCCGAGGACGGCCAGCGGGCTCAGTTCTCCTACAAATGGCAGAACTCGCCAGACAACCCCCAGCGTTTTGACCGGGCCACCTGTGTTCTGGCACACGCTGGCATCACAGGGGGGAGACACACGTGGGTGGTGAGTATAGATCTGGCCCACGGGAGCAGCTGCACGGTGGGCGTGGTGAGCGAGGATGTGCAGCGGAAGGGGGAGCTTCGGCTGCGGCCAGAGGAGGGGGTGTGGGCTGTGAGGCTGGCCTGGGGCTTCATCTCCGCTCTGGGCTCCTTCCCCACACGACTGGCCCTGAAGGAGCCACCCCAGCAGGTGCGGGTGTCTCTTGACTATGAAGTGGGCTGGGTGACCTTCACCAACGCTGTCACCCGAGAGCCCATCTACACCTTCACTGCCTCCTTCACTAGGAAGGTCATTCCCTTCTTTGGGCTCTGGGGCCGAGGGTCCAGTTTCTCCCTGAGCTCCTGAGAATGTGCAGTTACCTACCCTCCTCTAAGTACAGGATTCAAATCAACTCAAGTACCATGTGGACTTAATCCCTGGCTGGGTCACCTGGAAGACTTGAATAGAAACTACTGCTTTAGAAGGTGGGATGGGACCGGTTGGTAAGGGAAAGAGGAGAGGACACTCAATCTACTGATCAAGACCTTTCCCCAATGCCCAGTGGATGGCCAGGGTACCTGGGGACTCAGGCTGCTGCCAGCTCTCCTCATCACCATCGTTGCCAGGCACAGAAGTAGCTGCATAGAAAGAGCACTGGATTCGGAGTCAGAAGACCTGGGTTCTTAAACCAGCCTTGTAACCAGTTGTCTGACTTTAAGCAAGACATCACTTCTTTTCATCTTGTTTTCTTCTAATGATATTAGGGTTCATGTAATCACATTCCCTAGAAACATTTATTTTGTGTTAACCATGAACCAAGCAGTGTGGTAGCTGGTGATTTGAAAATATATAGAAAAAAAAAAAAAACACAAAACCTGTTCTGTTTCTGAAAGAGCTCTTGGGAAGACAGAGAAACATAAAGAGGAAATTACAGCACAGTGTGGTGAGTGCTATGGGAGGTCCAATCCCAGCATCATGGAAGCTCAGAGGAAGGGGCATAGCTCAGCCTGGAGGGAGAGGGTGAGTTGGGGATTGCTTTCTGAAAGGGGTGGTCTAAAGGATGCCTATGGTCAATAAGGAAAAGAAGGGAAGAAGCATCTTAAGAAGAGGAAACAGTAGAGAACTGGCTGGATGACCTATGACCCATGGAGCACTGGGACATCTCCATTGTCCTTATGGGCAGATGTGTGCCATCCCTAGCTGATAACACTCACTGCCTCCTTCCTCCTGGTGGTGCCACTTCTGGCTGAGGTAAAGGTGCAGGACCTGGGGGCAGGGGGACATAAGGGATAGCCATAAATCATAACTCAAGGACTACACTCCACCCCTGGGGAAATTGTCTTCCTGATCAGCTGATTACCAATGAGGTCAAGAAATGAGATAGTGGAAGCAAATGGGTCACAAATAGCTCAGCTGTGGGCTCAGAAATTGCTAGGTAAAAGAATTCCAGAAGGAGGCCAGGGCATAAGTTGGATGACCTGTAACCTTTAGCCTAAAGAGTGGAGACTACTGTAATGGAGACTACTGTAGTGACATCTGAGAAATGGGATGGAAGAGTCATCATGTTTTATTTTCTAGTTCTTGTCAGTATTGTATTTTCTTTTGCATAATCATGCCCTTCACTGACAGTCTTTTAAAAATCATCTCTGTTTTCTCTGCTCAGATGTAAACTACACCACTCTATCATCTCACTACTAGGTCTCCTGGGAGGAGGGGGGCCATCAGGGTGCAATCTCAAAGGCAGAGAGCACAGCGTGCTTAAGCCCAACCTTAGAATTCAACTGAGAAGTTCCACTGTTCGTCCTGAGCTCAGCAGGTAGAAAAGATATGATCAGAAGCCAGGGATTAGAGATTGAATTCCTTTCACTGGGAATGTGCAGTATCTCATTAAAATGTTGTATATTCAAAAAAATATAGACACCCGCAAGTGCTTATATAATGATAAAACATATCCAAAGCACCCAAACCTGTGATTCCACTAAAAAGTAGATCCTATTTTTCTGTTTATTTTTGTTGACTTTAGCTGTGTTTTTTAAATGGACTATTATCCTCTAAAATGTATGTGTATAAAGACCCTGGCTTGCTGCTGGGGAGCTTTACACACCTGTGTCACTCTATCTTGGTAGCTAGCCAAGATCATGCAACCAGTTAATCCGTGTCTGACCCAAGGGCTCTTAACCGCTGTGCTGCACTGCCTCACTCAGAGATAGATGCCTGCATGGGTCCTAGTGATTATTTTAATGCTGGCTACACCCCATAAGTGACTTGGATTCAGAAATACAATTTATATTTCTTCTTTTTAAATTCTCTTCTTTTTATTTTAATAGTTATATGGCAGTGAAAACAATTTCTATGTCTCACACTGAGGAATAAAACTGCTCATAAGTGAAAACACTGATGTTGGTCTGTCAGCACCTGCTTCTCCCCTAGGGTAATTTTACTTGAAGTTTACTTGTTTTTGGAGTATGCAGTCAGCACAGGAGAAGTGGATACATCCTAAGACCTGGTAACTTCAAGATAAGGTAGCTTAACGAAACTCCTTGCTCTACTGTCCGGAAGTGGAACTCTGGGTTCCCTCCCCAGGAAGTGCTCAAGTCTAGAGGCCCCGAGTCCCAGCTGCCCTTTCCGGCTCTGAAGGACTATTGCACACTTGCAACATCCACAGTTTATCCCTCATTTTTCACAGCTTCCATGGTAGCAACCCTTTCTATTGCAAAGAAGTGAGATCCACTCAAGTTAGTTCTAATGATAGGTAAGTTTATTATAAGAACAGGTACAGAAATAAGGAAAATGGGATTTTCCACCATGAGCCAGATCTCATGAGAAGCTATGTCAGGGGTGAGTGAGTTGGTGGGGTCACCACTCCTTCCTGTAGGAAGAACTAGAGATTCAAAAAATGTTGATAACAATAACATACGTAGAACTCATTTTGGCCAAACCCCATAATAAATATTTGTAATATACTATCTCGTTTAATCCTCACAACCACCCTGGGAGGTAGGTGCTGTTATCAATATCCCCATTTCGTACTTAAGAGAACTGAGACGTGAAGGTCGAGCAGCTGGTCTCAAATCAGCCGATAGTTAGTAGCAGAGCCAGCATTTGAATTCTGGTGCTTCGGCTCCTGAGTCTGTGCTCATGACCATTATGCAGTGGCATGTTGTGTGCCCAAGACCTACTGGTAAGAAGGGGGCTCGAGGTCCAAGGCAGTGTGAAGACTGGGTCTTCCTGCGGCCTCTCAGCAGCATGGGTGGTGGACACCTGCTCCAATACATGGTGACTGTGCATGCAGCTCTGATTCTCTGTGTCTGCTCTCCTTGCCAACTGATGACACCTTCACCGTAGGTCCCTTCTGAATCTCCAAGAGGAACTGATGGTTTTAGTTAATTACTATTGTCCCTCTTTGATAAGGCCTTTCTTGACAGGTGACCTCACAGACTCGGCTGGCCAACCATCTGCTGTTGAGACACCCACCCTTGGCCCGATCATCTGTGGTCACGTCAGAAGGAGCCATAGGGGGCCTGGCAGGCGTCTTCAGTATAACGAACTTCTCTCCTCTGGAGGGACCCTGTGGACTGCCATTCTCCTCCCACTCCTGGTACAAGTTCTGTTGGTGACATTAGCTTCAGCTGGGATGCAGGAACTGCTAGTTGCCACTTCAGGGGTGTTCTTTCCCAAGGTTACAGAGGAATGAGTTGTCAGGACCGAGACCTAAACTCAAGTCTGACTCCGTAGTTTTCACTCTTTGCGCCACCACATGGCTTGTTTTATTCTTGTGGGCATGTTTTATTCCTTATACCTCACAGTACGGTATTGACTACTTCATCGAGGGCTCAATAAATACTAATTAAATGGTAATTGATGGATCCTTTTAAACAGAGGATTAAGAAGGGCCCTTTTGCTTTCTAATTAATTCATTTATACATACATTTAAAATTTTATTGAACACCACCTGTGAGCCAGACACTGTTCTAGACATGAGGACACAGACAGTATGGTCCCTGCTCACCCAAAGAAGTGAGGCTTATGCACAGATGACTAATATATAGTTGTATTCATTATCCATGGCTCCATAAAAATTGCCACAAATTTACTGCCTTAAAACCACACACATTTTTTGTCTCACAGTTTCTGTGGGTCAGAAATTTTGGCACAGCTTTGCTGGGTCCTCAGCTTGGGGACTCACAAGACTGTAATCAAGGTGTTGGCTGAAGTGGGTTCTCATCTGGCTCAGCTGGGGAAGAATCTGCTTCCAAGGTCACTTGGGTTGTTGGCAGAATTCAAGTTCTTGCAGCCACAAGACTGAGGGCCTCTGCTTCTTGTTGGCTGGAGGCTGCTCTTGGCTCCTAGGAGGGGCTCTAAGTGAGTTGGCCAATGAGGAGGAGTCCAATACAATGAACACAGTTGCCAGAGTGACACCCTATCCCCTTTGCCATATTCCATTGATTAGAAACAAGTCACAGATCCTACTCATATTCAAGGAAAGGGTACCACACAAGGGCATTAATACCAAGAGGCGAGGATCACCAAGGGGTGCTGTCTCTGAGTCTATCTTCCACAACAATAATGACTAAATGCCAGGCAAGTGGTACAGACAACAAATACTGCAGGAGCTCAGCTGGGCTCCATATGTGAGGTGGGGTCATCACTGGTGAGCTCGGGCCATCCAGATCCTTGGAGGATCCTATTTTAATGAGAGTGCGAGAGAAGAGCACTACCATCAGTTCACAGGCAAATGGATATCTCACAAATAGTCCTGGAGACCATGGACCCTGACCTCTGCAGTGGCAGCCACAAGCATGAGCCTGTCCTGGAAGGAGGCTGTCTGTCATCCAAGAGTCAGAGTGTCAGGCATCAGGTGATGACTGTGGGCATGAGGAAATGGGGACATGTTCAGGAGCTGGCGGGCCTGAAGATGCACTGGGTAGACCTAACAGGGGCCTGGACAGGTTGGAGGAAGGAGAAAGAGGAGGCTGAGGTGAGCCTGAAGTGAGGTGTCCCGGAGATGAACAGGTCAGAGCTTCTGAGGATGGCTGAAGAAGCAATTCATTGACTCTTTTCCCCAACTGGGGATAAATAACCTCTAGTTTCTGTGGAGCACTCCTAGAAACAAAGAAATCCTTCATAGATTAATATATATTCATATATTCAATTGGCCATGTAGCATGAAGATACAAAAGCTAACAGAGCCGTGGGTCTCCTTGACCTTGATGAACCCCTGTGCATGGCTATGTTGTGTGGGTTTATATGCACATGTGGGAAAGAAGAAGGGACAGCTCATACCTGTTCAGTAAGTCACCGGCATTCTAGGAGAGAGAAAAAGTGAGAATCATAATCAGTTCTCAGGTTCCCGTCACCTCCAAATTCCTTTCCCAATTCACTCTTAGAGGCCACTCTGGCGTCCCACCTTGAGAACTGGGGGAACATAGCAACACCCCTCTTCTGTACCCATTCTGCTGCAGTAGCACTCTGTAGCCTGGAACAAGCATTGTCTACCGCAAATCACCACATATCACATGGGCCCCTCCCTCTTACACCTCCCAGAAGTGTGATGCGGATGGGCTGCCTACTATCCAGGAGAATCCCAGCCCTTGGGGAGGCCTCAGGTTATGCACCTTCAGGGTGTTGGTGTCTAACTCCTTGGCCATCCTCTCCAGATCAATGACCAGGCTGCTGAGCTGAGTTACTGCTTTGGAGATTCTGGCCACTTCTGTTGGCATGTGCTCCAGCTGGCCTGGCTGCTGCTGAGGGAGGGCATCCAGCTGTTCCCTAGTTTGGTGCTGGCTCTCCAGCTCAGCCTCCAGCCTGTGGTTCCCATAGTCTACCTGAAACTACAGGAAAGGGGCTCCCTAAGACTCGATGTCAGGTGGCTCCCTCCTGGCCCTTCACAGTCTCTGAGTATCTGAGCAGGAACGCTGATTCCTCAACCCTCTTCCCCTTATAGTGTTTCCACTGTGTGTCACAGGTACTGCAGAGGCAGCTGTGGTTCTCACAAAGTCAGGGACACCTTCCCCCTTCTGCCTCACACTGAACATCTACAGATGCCATGTGACAGGATGGAAAGGTAGACTGTCAGAGACAGAAACAGAGGCCTATGGCTTGTGTAGTAATTTTCAGTGGATGAGATACTGGTCTCCTTTGATCCTTACTGTGAGCCGGCTAGAGCAGGACTGTTATCATTTACCATATAAATCACATAAAGATCGGAGGGCTTAGATGGCCAGGCATGGTGGCTCATGCCTATAATCCCAGCACTGTGGGAGGTTGAGGCAGGTGGATCACAAAGTCAGGAGTTCAAGACAAGCCTGGCCAAGATGGTGAAACCCCATTTCTACTAAAAATACAAAAATCAGGCAGTGCGGTGGCAGGCACCTGTAATCCCAGCTACTCAGGAGGCTGAGGCAGGAGAATTGCTTGAACCCAGGAGGCAGAGGTTGCAGTGAGCTGAGATCAAGACATTTCACTCCAGCCTGGGTGACAGGGTGAGACTCTAAGACTCTGTCTCAAAAAAAAAAAAAAAAAAAAAAAAAAAAAAAAGATCAGCGGGCTTAACCTGCTTAGGCCACTTACTTAGCAAATCTTGATGCCAAGACCAACACCCAGGGTTCAACCTCCATGACCATCTGCCCACATCAGGCTGCTCCAGGGACAGACAGATGTGCAGAACAGTAAGTAAGGGCCCCTGAGAACACTCCAGGTAGTCCTTCCCAGGAATCTGAAAAACCCACCTGCAGAGTCTGCAGTTTCTCCTCCTCCTGAGCCTTGAACCGCTGAAGTTCTGCGATGTCTTTTCTGAGCTTCCTGCTCCGGCGGTTTAGTCGTTCCTAAAGAGACAGATGCCTGCTTGTCAGACTGGGAGTGAGGGGGGCAACCCCTGGGGAGAGTCAATGGAACATGGAAGGGAGCCTGATCCCAGGATGAAACCGATGTAAAATTCTGCCTACAAAGAAATGCATCATGGTTGGAGTATGGAACTTGAGAGTTTATTTATTGGATAATGGTGGGGAAAAAAGTCATGGGTATTTTTTTAAATAGTCTTATTACTACAGAAAAATAACAGCTAGCAACAGAACCATTTCTACTTGACTTCAAGGTGCTTTCACTCAACATATGAAAGTCATATGACAGTCTTCTAGCACTTCTTACTATTTTACATTAACAGGTAAAGCCAGTAGGGACAGAACTGCCTTAAAGAGGAGATGGTGGCCGGGTGTGGTGGCTCACGTCTATGATCCCAGCACTTTGGGAGGCTGAGGCAGATGGATCACGAAGTCAAGAGGCAAGAACAGAGTCTGGCCAAGATGGTGAAACCCCGCCTTTACTAAAAATACAAAAAAAAAAAAAATTAGTAGTAGCATCCCAGCTGCTTGGGAGGCTGAGGCAGGGTAATTTTTTGAACCAGGGAGGCGGAGGTTGCAGTGAGCCAGGATTGTGCCATTGCACTCCACACTCCAGACTGGGGAACAAGAGCAAAACTCTGTCTCAAAAAAAAAGGAGATAACAAGCCTCTGCTACCACTGCTCCCTGGTCCTCACTAGGATGAATGACAGGCAGAGCCCTTTACTAGATGTAAACCCATAGCCCAGGCTGGCAGTGCCTTCGCCCTCAATCTTAAATTAGTATCTGGATAGGTCACTGTGTCCTTGAAGCTACGAAGATAATGAATGATTTGAGTTTCTAAAAGTTTTTGCTTTCAGGTTTTTGATGGCCTATAAGAGAAGCAAAAATAACAACAAATGCTTTAAATGGCTGCCCATGGTTGGAGGGTGTATGATGAAATGGAAAACAAAACGAGAAACAGATTTGTGAACTAAAGAGCAGGATGCACTGTTAGCTGGAAAGTGTGTGTTTCATTAAATCTTTCCCACTTCGGATTTTTTAAAAGAATCTTTTTTGAGGAGATTTTGTTGATGTACAGGTAGAAGTCGGGGGATGGAGAAGACAATTGAAAGTTCTTTCTGGCCTGAGACTTGGCTGGTGAAATCAAGGTCAAAGGACTGTGTGTAGGAGCAGTAAGCAAGGGCATTTGGCAAACAAAAAGCTGCAGTAAGCAGAGAAGACAGTGATGTCACCACGAAGTTACTAAAAATGTGTCACATCGCTGGGTGTTACCTGCAGGCATTTCTCAGCAGAGGGGGAATAAAAAGTGATAGGTGTGGGAGGTAATAAATGGGCAACACGGATGTCGCTCACGGGTCTCGCTGAAGCAGGTGGCAGGCTGGGTTGGTGTGGAATTGTTTGAGTTAGCACAAGAGTTCAGGTCCTGAAAAGCACGAACAGTCTCCACCCCTTGCAGCTACTCTCTTTCTGCTCTCACAGTCGAGTCTTCTGGCCTTGCTCTGTTCACTTCCTCCCTGCCATCATTCTGCAGCCAGCCGCCTTGCTTCTCATCACTCCTTTCAAGCGTCTCTCTCCAAGGTCACCTGTGATCTCCAGCCATGAAATCTGCAGGTGCCTTTTTGGACCACCTCTCTACCCCCATCCTTCCTAGACCTGTGCCTTCTGCCACTGCTTCTTCGCCTCTTCACTTTTCCTGTAAAAAGACGCCTGGAAATTGGCTCCTCAACCCTTTTCTATCTCAAACTATGTCCTTAGCATTCTTTTCTGGAGGCTTCAGATCTTATCATTCCAAAACCAAATCTTTCTTCCTAGCAGTCCATCTCATGCATCCAACTGAGAGCTAAGTATTGCCTACTGCCCTGTTGGCAGCTCAAAATCGATACTGTCAAATCAAACATGCTGCCCCCTTCCCACCCTCCTCTGCAGTCCACTCCTCTTCACCTTCATATTTCTGGCATTGGAACTGCCATTCTGCCTGCCATTCAGCTTAAAATCTGTCATATTTCACCTTTGTTGATGTTACTCCTCCCTTCAAAATGGCTTCTCATCAACAAAGATAAGCCCAAACTTCTTCACCCAGCATCCAAGGCACCCTGTGACCCAGCCGCAGTGGACACTGTCTGGGATTCTCTCTCTTCCCCCTCCTTGCTCTCTTCACCAGCACACAACGTTGCTTTCCGCTTCCTGAACACATGCGTGCAGCCACACCTCCTCATGGCCTTTTACTTCCCTCTGCCAGAATGCTTTATGTTTCTGCCTGTCAAATTCAGACCTGTTAAGGTCCAGTTCAAAAAGCCACAGTCCTATTATCTGGCAGTTTAAAATTTAATAAAGTCAACTACAGGCACTATGTAAATGAAAAAAGAAGGCAAAGATAACAGCAATAAAGATAAAAGCATAGAACAACTGAAGATAATACATTCATATCGTTTACAATATTCAAAATGAGTAAGGTAAAGTCCTCGGTCTCTAAAAAATGCTTTTTCACCAATTTTTGCATTAAAATATTTAATGGATGCATAGCATATAAATAAGACACTCATTAGAATTGAAAAACCAAATTCTACACACTTCTACCTACCAAAATATTCCTTAGCAAAAAAAAAAAGACAAATTGAAATCTAGAAAATAGTCAAAGGCCTGTCTTATCTAAATGAATATTTTAAAATTCTGTCAGACATTCAGATTGAATCATTAAATTTTAAAAATCTGACCAAAAAAAGGGCATTAAACAGATAAGAAGTATCTATCCCTGACATTAGAAAAAAAAAAAAAAAAGAAAAATTAACAGCTTTCAAAATGCATGCTCCTTATAGAACTGTGTCCCAAAATATGGATTTAAAATATCACTCACATGATTATGATCTAGAAAATGTCAGGAAAGTTTTAAAAAATGTATGAGTAAATACATGAGCTCAGCAAAGAACCTCATTTAAATCTTCAAATACAAATTGTCAAAAAAATAATGTTATAAAATATATAGTTACCCTGAATAGAGTCAGGGCACATGAGGTTGAAGTAGAGAAAATTTAGTATCTGATTCAAATACATAGTGGAAAGCTTTTAGTGATATATCTTTGTACTGGTTGAGAAGAATAAATAAATCCCAAAAGTTATAATTTTTAAAGTAATCAACAAATTTAATGCGATAACCATTAAAATCTTAGGGAATGCTCTGTAAAATTTAGAAAGATTGTAAAAAAGCACTCTTCTTAATGAACAGTTAGCAAAAATATAAGGTAATAAAAATTGTTAAATGGCAAAAATGCTGCTAAATTTAAAAATAAACCATGAAGTAACATGTTTCAAATAATCATATCATAATAACAGAAAGAATAATCAATGGACTAGGGTAAAAAAAAAAAAAAGCCCATCATAAGAACTTAATTTATGCCAAACGAGAAACAACACGTAAATGTGGAAAGAACTCACTATTATAGAAATGCTTTGGGGACAACTGGATACCAGAATGAAGAAAAATTAACATGGAGTCATCCTTCACACAACCTGCTCTATAAAATTCCAAGTAAGCCAGGAATGAATAAACCTTTAAAAATAAAACAGAGCAGCACACTCATATTAGACAAATTTCTGTGTATTTAGAACATGAAGATTATATTGTGAAAAAGAATACAACCAATTTAAATACAATTTTCTAAAATTTTGCCCAAAAATGTAATTAAGAAGAAATTACAGAATAAAAAAAATACATGTTAAAAGACTGGGCGTGGTGGCTCAAGCCTGTAATCCCAGCACTTTTGGAGGCAGAGCCAGGAGGATTATGAGATCAGGAGATTGAGACTGCCCTTGGTTAACATGGTGAAATCCTGTCTCTACTAAAAATACAAAAAATTAGCCAGGCGTGGTGGCACGTGCCTGTAGTCCCAGCTACTTGGGAGACTGAGGCAGGAGAATCGCTTGAACTGGGAAGGTGGGGGTTGCAGTGAGCTGAGATCTCGCCATTGTACTCCAGTCTGGATGACAGAGCAAGACTCCGCCTCAAAAAAAAAAAAAAACAAAGTGTATGTTAAACACAGCTAATGTAGCCCATTAACAAAAGATAAACTACTTTGATGCAATCATGTAGAATTTATGCCCTGATTCTAGGGGAAAATGCAGACTTCGAGTCTTCAGGGATAAAAGCCTCACCACTAGCATTCATAATCAAGCAAAGTAAAACAATGTACATCACCATCACTCACTTACTAAACCAGCAAAATACATTGAAGTGATTGACACTGGCATTGGTTGGTCAGTGATGTAACAGGAATACAAATAAGAATTTGTAGATTTTATAAAATTTTCAATCTTTTTACAGTACAGTCAGGGATTATATGATTCTTTAAATAACATAATTTGTAATACTTAATCTACAAAGTTTAATTTAAATAAATACAGATACGGTGAAAAAATCAGTTAAAAAAACTCCTTGATTTCAAAAGTATACTATCAATATCCATGAGTACACATAGGGTCCACCATTACAATCACTTCTTCAGAAATACCCTCAACTCCCTGACCCTCTCTATTACTTTTCAGACAACTCCTTATCCTTGGTAAAATGTATCATCACTTCTTGTTGGCTGTCAGTCCTCAGGCAGCCTCCTGAAACATGTTAAACATTTCAGACCTCAAGCTGGTGCTCCATACTGTCTGCTAACCCTACATAGTTTCTCTTGTGAGTTCACTCTCCCACACTACATCACATCATCTTTCTTTTCAGACCTTTCACATCCATCCTGACCTCACCCATACTGCTGATGCTCCCTCCTCACTTACTACTGAGAAAATAAAAACCAGAACCAAACCTGCATTTCCAAAACCACAAAACTACGTACACTTGCAGACACCTTCTCTTGTTTCCTATTATTACTATGGAAGAAGTGTGCCTCCTCTCAACCCAGCTCCCATGCCTCTGCCACCACCTTACTGAAGTATTAGCATCGTTCAATGCCATCTATTGTCATCGCTTAAAATACCCTTCTCTCTTAGCAATTGGGGCTCCATTACCCTTGTTTTTCTTCTGCCTTTCTGGCAACTCATCCTACGTCTTCTTTACTGGTTCTTCTCTACCTACATCTAAATGACAGCCTTTCCCAGAACCTTACCCTGAAACTTCTTTTCTGTCTAGCCTCTTTTGAGGCTATTACATCAATTCCTTGGTTTCTTGGTTGTGTTTCTTTATTTGAGACGGGTTCTTGTTCTGTCACCCTGGGTGCAGTACAGTGGTAAAATCACAGCTCACTGCAGCCTCACTCTCCTGAGCTCCAGCAATCCTCCCACCTCAGCCTTCCAAGTAGCTGGGATTACAGGCATGAGCCACTGCACCCAGCCCCAAATTGTCAAGTCCTTTTTTTCAAAAAAAAAAAAAAAAATCCTGCTAATTTCACTTCATTGTTGTTGTTGTAGAGATAGTGTCTTACGCTGTTGACTAAGCTGGTCTTGAATTCCTGGGCTCAAGAGATCCTTCCACTTCAGCCTCCCAAAGTGCTGGGATTACAGGTATGAGCCACTGTGCCTACTTTCCTTGCATTTAAATATTCTTTGTCCTGATGTATCTTTGTTCTAGGTTCTAGGAATATGACTCTGGAGATACAGCTTTGTGATCCAGTTGCATATCTAAGATCTTATTTTGATGTGTCTCAACTTGGACTCAATTTGTCTTGAATGAAACTCTTGATGTTGCATTCAAACCTGTTCTACCAAGTTCTTATCTTTCACACCATCCACTCAGTTTCTCAAACCAGAAACTCATGAAATTGTCTTTGACCCCCCTCCTTCCTTCAATCCACTTCTAATCTATCAGTAAGTCCTGTCGATTCAAACTCTAATGATAAATTCTTCAAATATAACAAGACTTCCCAGGCGTGGGCATCTGCATGCACTCCCTGCCGCCCAGTCTTTGCACTGGTCAATTTCTCTTCTTCCAGCCCTCAGCTTCAACGTCACTTCCTCTATGAGGCCCTCACTGACCACATGGACATGGGCCACCCATTACTGTCCATCCCAGACTCTTGCTTATTTTCTTCCTAACTAATAAAATGTTACAGTTCTTTGATTACTTATTTGTGTCTCCCTTACTAACCTGCAAACTCTTGGCAGAAGGAAGGGTATCTGTCTTCACCGATTCCTGGCATATACTGGAGTTTCTCACACACAGCAGGAACTTATTAAGTTTTTACTTAATGAACAAATGTCATCATTATTTATTTGTTTTAGGTTTCTTGTCATTATTTAAAGTCAGATTTGAAACAAGAATTATGAATCATCTTTGTACTTCCTGCAACGCCTAGCATGACACCTAACACAAAGTACAGACCTGAATAAATCATTTAGTGAGGGGAATAAATTTCTCCATCTTATGCTGCCTCATCGGCAGGTGAGAAATCCCCCACCCCACTCTCTGTGGACAGTGTGCCCTAGAGGAAATGATGTTAGAACCAAGTAGAACTTTGCAAAATAATTTTTAAAAAATTCAAAAACTGGCTTTTTGAATTATTTATCTACCTTTCTATAGTCATTTCCAACATGGACTTCCCACTTTCTTATTTTGTATCATAACATGTTCTCCAAAAGCCAAATATCTCAAAGAAGATTTTGGAAATTCAGCCTTCACTATTGGATAAAAGGACACCATGTGAAAATATTGTCAATCGTCCAGTCAAATTCTAACTGGATTGGGGTCAGGAGAAAGGTTGATAAAAAATTCGAAAGCTAATTGGCAAAATAAAGATATACAAGTATCTGCATAAATTCTGAAAAATAAGAGTATTGTGAGGGTTCTATCAAAATATCTGACATTAAAACATATTGTAAAGATAAAGTGGCTAAAATACTTTGGCTTATAGACAAGCATAGACAGAATAGAACAAAACAAGAGAATCAAGGAAATATGCAATAAAATATGCACATATGGTGTATTATAACATTGACATTCAAATCGGTGGGGAAACTATATGAATCATTCAATAAATGGTGATAGGACAAATGATTATAACTTGGAAAAACTAAAGTTAGACTCCTACCTAATGCTATCACTGAAATATTTCTTGGATAGTCTATATTCTCCAATATATATGTTGAAGGTTATTCATTAGAACATTCTGTGTAATTTTTTTTTTTTTTTTGAGACGGAGTATTGCTGTGTCGCCAGGCTGGAGTGCAGTGGAGCAATCTCGGCTCACTGCAACCTCCACCTCCTGGGTTCAAGTGATTCTTCCACCTCAGCCTCCCGAGAAGCTGGGACCACAGGCAAGTGCCACACGCCTGGCTAATTTTTTTTTTGCATTTTTAGTAGAGATGAGGTTTTACCATGCTGGCCAGGATGGTTTCAATCTCTTAACCTTGTGATCCGCCCGCCTCGCCCTCCCAAAGTGCTGGGATTACAGGCATGAGCCACCGCACCCGGCCATTCTGTGTAATCTTAAAACAAAACAATAGCTTGGAAATAATCCAGTGTCTGCCAATTTATGGTACATTCATAGAATTCAGTACCACACAGTTGTTGAAAAGAATTCAGAAGATCTATACATGCTGATGGGAAAATGTCCAAGACATACTTTTGGATAATGAAAGTGAGTTACAGAAAAAAAAAAAAGAATCCTTTGAGTGTGTGCATGTGTGTGTGTGCGTGTGTTTTAAGAGTTCATTTATAAACAGTCACATTTTTTGGAAGGATGTACAAAAATCTGACAATGGTTACCTCTGAGGACTGTGAATGGAGGGAGAAAGGAAGACAAATTTTTAGCCTTGACTTTATACCTTTCAGTGCTTTCTGAATTTATTATCTAGAGCATGCAACTTTTGTCACAGAAAATTTAACAGAATAAGATAAAAATAATTACCATAGCAAAGAAAGGAAAAGGAAAGAAAAGACAAATGCAGAAGTCTCTAGAGAAAGAGAGAAGAAATTACGTACTAACTTTCAGGTTTTAATATATCGGCAGGATAATTACTAGTGTATATAAAACTGATTACATTTCTAGCCAAGTTTCTAGTATTATCAACCAGGAATTCACACAGTCTTAGTCCTGAAAGGGTTTTGCGTTGGTTAGTCCAATTACTTCATTCTACAGATGAGCATATTGGGACCCTGACATCACAGGGACAGTGTTCTCTTTTAGACAGACTCACATTAATGCACCGGAACATCAGCCTCCAAATATACACAGAAAAGCAAAGACAAGGGTTCAAAATAGAATGAAGCAGAAGAAACAAAGAGAGGTGTCCATTGTCCAGCTATTCTGAAGTGCCAGGCATGATGAACACGTAGGATGCCGTACCTCAGGGAGGTGGGGGCAGGCCTGGCTATGGTGGCTGGGGCTTACCTTGTAGTGACTGAGGGCATTTTCAATGGTCAGCTCACGATGAGACGTGTGTTCAGGGGACACCAGGCATTCCACACACAGAAGAAGTCTGCTCTCCTCACAGAACCTGCACACCCTCTTCTGGTGGTTGAGGCAGATATAACCTGTTCCCAGCACCTCCTCGGAACAGGGCTTCCGGCAGAGGGGGCAGCAGATGGCCCCAGAGGCTGAGGCCTTCTCCACATGCTGTTTCAGGCACACTCGACAGAAGAGATGTCCACATTTGGTGCTCACGGCCTCCTTCAGGCTCTCCTGGCAGATGGGGCAGACACCCTCCTCCTGGGTGTCCTTATGCAAAGGGATCATGGCCTTGTCCCCACCCTGTCAGCCTTCTGCCTGCCTCCTGTCTGCAGGGCCTCCTTCTTCACTGGTCTTCGGAAGGCCTGTAGCCCTCAAGGGTCCCAGATAAGAAGGCCCGGTTGGAAGGAGGCAGCCCTGGAGCAGCCTGGAGATCAGGACACAGCCTCTAACTTCAGGCAATTGCCCACTCTCCATCAAGGATGCCGTGACATAGACCACACAAACCACAATTCTGCACAAGTTTCAGAAATAGCTTATCAGCTTTCACATGGACCCTGCAGTTTCCTTGTATTTGTCAAACTTGAAATTATTTTTCATACACCTAGAGGAAGCAAGTGATGCAATAACTAACTCTGTTTTCCTCTTGAGAGCCTTATGTGAATATTTTTATGGGCCCCAAATCAAAAGGGCAAAGTGTCAATGTCATGGCCAAAAGCCAGACCACCATAAACTTACAATGTGAATCTCCGCTGATTTGCCATCAGTAGAGAGAGTTTGGTAGGAGTTTGGACTGTTTTCTCCCACATTGTCACACTAGACAGCTCACTGCTGCCCATTCCTACCACCAATCATTATAGCAGCACCCCCATCAGCTGGTCATTCTCCCAACCAACATCCCTCCCAGGGTCATATAGATTCCACACTGAAAGGATGAGAAAGAAAACAGGACACAGAACAGACCAGAGACTTGTGTCATGTTTGAAGCCACTTTGTTCCTTGCTGTCAAATCACCTCCAAAGACGACCCAAAGAAGGAAGTCCCCACCCCACCCGCCACTTCCTTTCACACTGAGCATTCACTCTCATTCCCTCATGCTGCACCTCTTGCCTAGTCCCCCTCCTGAAACGCTTTCTAGTATCCTACCTCAATTTCTTCTGCTATAACTTCAGATCATTTTCTCCGGCTCCAGACTTGGAGAGATGGCCAGCAGGTGAGTGGTTCTTAAATCGTGCCAATCATGTGTGTTCATATGTCAGTAAATCTCAGGTGGCATGGAGAGACTCATCCTTTCCTAGAAACACTGCATTACCAGGAAAATGACCTAGGGTTGCTGGAAGGTGAGATGGACGTTGGCTGGTGCAGGGTGTGGCTTGTTTGCTCATGGGGAGGAGGAAGGTCTTGGGCCTTTGACGTCAATATGACAGGACTCAAGTGAGAATGGACATCCCAGAACCCCAGCTTTTGGAACCTCAGGATCCAGGTGTCACAGAACCATGGCACCCACTCAAGATGCTGGAACACCAACTGTCCACCCAATTGTCTAAGTTCCCTCCAGTCAGGCTGGAGGCATAGAGTTTGGGGGATCCCCCAAGGGGTGCCACTGATAAGGGCTGTCACTTCAAACTTTTAAGGGTCCTTGAAGCTTGTCGAAAACCTCATTTCATAGCCTCCTCCCTCAATCCCACTTTGCCACTGTTTGCTGTGGGGTTGTGTGATATTGTAAGATAAAAAAATAGATACAATTAGTCTTGGCACAGAGCTCCTAAAACCCTTGAACAGATGCTCCTTAACTTATGATGGGGTCACGTCCCAATGAATTCACTGAAGTCAGAAATATTGCAAGTTGAAAGTGTACTCAATACCCCAGTAAACCCATTGTAAAGTCAAGAACTTTAAGTTTAATCATCCTAAATCCAGATGCAGCTCAACTTACCACACAGTTACATTCCAATGAACCTATCTTTTATTACTTATAATAAGCCCCTTTCAACCATACCCGAGTTTATGCTCATGAGGTGACTCTTGGAGGAAGAATGGGGGCTGGTTGCCAGAAAAACCAATCAAGCGATTAGACGTTGGAACTTTCATTCTCACCTTTGACCTCTGGGGAGGGGAGAGGAGCCCAGGGACTGGGTTAATCACCAACGGCCAGAAATTTAATCAATCATACCTAAATCATGGAATCTCTGTAAGTCCCTAAACAAAGAGGTTTGGGGAGATTCCAGGTTGGTGAGTGCAGCCACATGCTGGGAGGGTGGCACATCCCACACTCCACTGGGGACAGCAGCTCCTGTGCTCAGGATCCTCCTGGACTTTGCCCTGTGTACCCCTTCATCTGGCCATGAAATCACCATGACCCTGGTGATTTCAAAGACCATATACAACATGATCATATAACACCAAGGCTTTTCAGTTCCTTGTCCTGCTCACATCCAATGACCTTTACTTTGGCCAACCACCCTAGTGGCCACTCTCTTGACCTTGTCAGGATTCAGATTTCACCACCTGAAATTAAAAATCTAGGCAGTGTACTCACTTACAGTTCTCTTCCTAAGCCGTCTGATCTTTAACCTTCAATCCTTGGCCCCTCCACAATCTACATGTCTGTCGCATCTCATGAAATAACATAAGAAACAAAAATGTGGACAGATTAAGTAACCTGCCCAAGACCACAGTGGTGTAAGATCAGAACTGGGAAGCAGATCTGAATGTCTGTCATCCCAGCCCATGGGCTTCATTATCAAAATGTCATCTCTCTATATACCTTTTCTTGCTTTTAGAAAGAATTCAGTAAAAGCTTGATAAGTGAATGGGTTAATGGACAGATGGACAAATAGATTGATAATTAGATATATGGATAGACAGATGAAGAAACAGCACGTTGTACCAACTCATAGTATTGATTATATAGTAACTTCTACTGATTAGGTGCTTTCCTTGATTTTCCTACTGGCTTATTGAGCAACTTGAAGGTGGAATCCACTGTATTTAACTAGCACTAGCTTCAGAATGTTTCAAATGTAGAAACCACAGAAGGAAAGAAAGATAAATTCAGTCACATTTAAAAAGATCTGCATAGGGCAAAAAACCTGTCAGCGCAGTGACAAGAGAAAAATGACCAAATAAAAATGGAAGAAGAAAAATGTTTACAACTGCCATCAAAATCAAAGGGTTAATTAATTACCCTTTATATAGAGCTCTTACAAATAAGAATTTATCAACTACCAAGAAGAACATCGGGCAGAAGTATCTCAACAGACATTTCATAGAAAAAGAAATACAAAATATCTCTAAAGCATATTAAAAGATACTCAGTCTCACTCTCCTGAAGAAAATGCAAATTAAAATAACACTGCATACTATTTTCCCCAATCAGATTGACAGAAATCCAAGCGTTTGGTAACACAGTGTTGGTATGTGTGTGAGGAAATAGGCAATCCCATGTTCTGCTGATGGAAATGTCAACTAATACTCCTTCTTTAGAGGAGAGGAATTAGAGAATTTCCTCCAAGATTACAAATGCACATTCTCTTTTAGCCAGCAAGTCTGATGTTAGAAATTTAGCATACGTATATACTCATGCATATGTGAAATAATGTTTGAGAAACATTTGCTTCAAATTTTAGAAACTAACCAAATGTTCATCAATGGAAGTTAAGCTAAATAAACTAGCTACATTCACACAGTAGAACACTGTGCAGCCATTAGTAGGGGGTAGGATGCAGAAAGGAACTTTTTCTATTGGAATATCTCCAACATAATTGATTTAAAAAAAAAAAAAAGCTTGATGGTGCCCATCTCATATCAGCCAGGAACAAAGCAACTCCTTGCTTATCCCAGCTTGCTTTCAGTGTATGCCCACTCCTGGTTTATGATTTGGACACATAGATTACTGAATTTAAAAAATAAAAATACATTTAAAAGCGAGGTGCAGGCTGGGCACAGTGGCTCACACCTGTAATCCCAGCACTTGGGAGGCTAAGGTGGGTGGATCACGAGGTCAGGAGTTTAAGACCAGCCTGGCCAAATGGTGAAACCCCGTCTCTACTAAAAATACAAAAATTAGCCGGATGTGGTGGCGCACACCTGTAATCCCAGCTACTCAGGAGGCTGAGGCAGAAGAATCACTTGAACCTGGGGGGCAGAGGCTGTAGTGAGCCGAGATCACGCCACTGCACTCCAGCCTGGGTGACAGACACTGTCGCAAAAAAACAAACAAACAACAAAAAAGCAAGATACAGAACAGTGTGTGTAATATGGTATTATTTGCATAAATGGGGGAAGAATAAATAACATTCTTACTTGCTCTTTATCCAAAGAATATCTCTGGAAGGATACATCAATAAACTAGTAAAGATTGCTTTTGGAGAGAGAAACTAGATGTCTGGAACCAGGGGCAGGAGGGAGCCTTTCCCCTGTGTTTTTAAAATTTTGAACCAGGAATTGTGCCATCTATCTAAACAGTTACTTAAATTTTAAAATGTTTAAGAAAAGAAAGAATCAGTGGTCAGAATGAAAGGAATTCTGGACTAGTCAAAGAATCTGGATTATGATCCTAATTGTAGAGATTTGCAGCTTCATGTTCAGGGGCAGCCACCACTTCAGCCTCCTTTACAGGAAAGTGGATGAAATGTCACAGCTGGAAATGGATGTGCTTCATAAACTACAAACCAATGTGCAATTGTCAGAGTTCTTATTTCCCTGAGTCAGTCTATTCAGCATAGCTCCTTGCATATATCAGATGCTCAATAACTGTTTTAAAGGAGTGATCTTATCTAATTTCTCCTACTTAAAAAATATTGGAGACAAGAGTCAGGAGATTTTTGTCTTCCCCTTTTCCTTTATGACTTTTAATTGCCTCTGTTTTGACATTTCCCAGCAGAAAAGACCTACCTCCTACCCCTTTCTCACAGCTGCTCCAAACTCTTCACATCAGTGGAAGCTCAGCTCAAGTCCTAGTTTCCTGAATTGAACTTTCCTAAAAAGTCAGTCTTCATTCTGGTGGATGGGGGCTAGGACCTACCCCACAGGTTGCTTGCCAAGCTGAGGGCTCTGGCTCAGGGCAGCAGTGGCCCCAAGGAAGTGAATGGATCCATCCTAATTTGTACAATGGTGTCAGAGGGACCTGCAGGTCTATATGTATCTCTGTTTTCTAAATCACTGTCTCATCTATTACCGTTTGATTTTTGCCAACTTCCCTGGCTTTGGCTTATATTTAGCTCTATGAGATATAGGACTATATCTCTCTGTCTTTTCATACTCTTCTGCACCTAGCCCAGGGCTGGGCACCTTAAACCACTCTCTAACAGTCTCCAACTAAGTCTTAAACTCAAATCCCAGCGATATTTTCTCGGTTCACATCCAAACTGATGACTCAAACGTTGGATCATCAGCAGTCCCCTCCTTGAAATTCTCCCAACTTGATCCCGGGTTCTCTCTCACTTATTTGCTCATCCATAAAATGAAATCTACTCTATCCTAGTGCAGCGATGTGGAACTACGTGGACTTCATAGGTGGAGAGGACGGATTCAGATTCCCATTCTACCTCTGCACAGTTGTTAGCACTATGCAGATCCTGCAGCCTCCTTGAGACCGGATGCTATCCTGGTCTTGATATCCCTATTGAGTTTAAACTTTTGTGCATTCTTAAATGTCCCATCACCACCGCAAGTTCAATGTACCTTCTAATTATTCTTACCTGGATTATCTGCCACCCTGCCCAGAACATGCAATGGACAGGGTCATTCAGCTGTGTTCGGCAGTTGTCTCTTGGTGGGCAGTAGGTGGCACTGTCTTACAAGATAGGACACGACTTCCGGTTTACCTCTGGAAGGTGGAGCGTTGCTGCCAAGGCTCCAGGGCACTGGGATTTTTCTTTTTTTTAATGGTGGCTTAAAAACTGGTAGAGTAATTCTCCAGGGCAAGAAATATCTGGCTGTGGAAAGCTAGCTGTGAAATATGTAGATTGAGGATGGGAGGAGAGAGGAGGGAAGGGGTGCATAAAACTGTGTAAGAGGAAGCCGGGTGGTCCTGGAGAGAGATGGAGCCTGCAGGGCTGCACAAGGCAGGCGACCAAGGAGGGAAGTTTACCAGTGAGAAGTGTCTTGGGCAGAAATAGTGAAGAAATGTTTAAGAACAGAAATGCCTAATACTGAGCCTTAAGTTGTCTGCTCTGAGAGTGTGTCCTCTGACAAAACCCATCCTCTAACCCCACACTCAATACCTTTTATCCCTAGACTTCCAGGAAACAAGCAGTCAATCTATCATACACGGTGTTGGAAATAGATGCTTGGTGCTACAAAGAAAAAT